TCACTGTACCCAAGGTTATAGATTAATTTCTCCCAAGATAAAACGGCTTAAACCTGTTAAAGAAATAGCGGTACCTCAAATTTCTTTAACTTCAGCGAACTTCAGAACAACAACAAGTCACACAGACTCAGTCGATTGACACTTTGATTTTATTTGAGAGAAAAATAAATGCAGAGAAGGAAAATTTTCAGTGTTTGAAAAATCAAAAATTGACTTCCTTTTATAGACATTTTCAGCAAGAAACGTGTCTGTTCAGAGAAATCTGTTCAGACCCGTTTATTCGAGAAAGTTGTGTCTTTTGGAAAAAATAACAACTTTTCAAAAAAATGTATTTGTTAGGAAAATAACGATTTTTCGGAATGTTACTGTTATCCATAAATTTATAAGAGATAATATTAACATGATTTATTTGATTTAACAAAAACTGATTAAATAAATTTTATTCAAAAAATTTATCAATCAATCACATCCAAAGCCGAGCGATGACGGCGCGAGGGGACATCTTCTTCTTAACTCTTTAAGAAGTAACGAAAGTGTTTCCTTATATAAGGACAACAATTTTCCTTTCTTTTGTCGATATGAGATAAATGACTTTTCATTTTTCCTCCAAAATGATTCCCTCACTTTTCATATTCTCTCTTTTCTTTTCTCATTTACACTTGCTAAATCCCAATGGAAGGGAATTTGTTATTTTGACTACCTGAGTAGTATATTCCATTGCTCCTCCTTTTGTAAAGTAATTATAATCTGAATATGTTTTTTTATTTAATAACTACATAGGCACATATTATATTTTGGCTTTATTAATTGAGAATCTCTATGATTAGGGGTGTATATTGAATTTTATCAATCTAATATCAACTATCTATTTCATAATCCATTAATATACAAGTTTAAATTTGAGGTTGTGCTTAATAAGAATTTACTTCTATTATTATGAGCTAGTTTTATTGATAATCATCTAATTTTAAATTTCTTACGTAAAAATATGTTTTCTAATTTTTTTTATCATATAAAAGTCTTTTGATTTAAACTATACCATACACCAATAACTAGATATGACTTTTCTCCTATAAAGGCTATTCAACTTGAGCCAAATTAATAAATAATTAAATCTCATTTGTTGATATTTTATAGTACTAAAGATAAGAATATGACTCTCTATTATATTTTATTATATATAGTACAAGGGATTCAAATATGATATAAAAATCACATATTCAATCATCTGTATGTTATATTATGCAAAAATACTTCAATTTTAGTTATATGAATCTGAGTCACATCTTCAATCATATGTACTTTAAATTCATACAAAAATAATTTCAGTTTTAATTATATACATTTAAAGTTCAATCATATACGTGGCCTCTCAACTTTCAATAATATTTTTGCAATTTTAAAAGACGTATATATTTATATTTATCCAAAAATTAGTAAAGCAAACTTATAAATTTTCAAGCACTGTGAATTCAACTAAAATGATGATCTCTAAATTGGTTTAACGTGTACTCAATTCAAATATAATTTAAATCTTCATACAAAATTTAACGTATTACAAATTAAATTCAAGAACAAAATTTAATAGTTAATGCATTACACAACTCTTCATATACTAGGACATGTACTTATTTAAAATTGGATTTTGAATGACCCTTATATAGAAACTTAATACGTGGAGAAGCTTCTAATCGAATTTTATGCTACAGTTTTACTTATGATCTTATTTTCAATTCTCGAACTTCGATATATATATATATATATATATATATATATATATATCATTATCAAGGTGTTTGAGATAAATATCACGTCCTTGATGAATTTCACATGACACTTTCCACTTCTAACTAGCAACATACATTAGTTACAACCCGAAATCTTGTAGTATTCAACTCATGTTAGTAACCACTAAAATCATACCTTAATCTTTAGCCTGAACTTATTTATAGCCCCCTAAAGTTGATATCAATTTTCACTTAGACATCTCAATTAGACTTTATTTATTTTAGATATCTCATGTTGAGTCCCGCTGTGTCATTTTGACACTTTTTGCTGACTTGACATGAAATTTTCCTTCTTCTTCACTTTTTAGCTCTACCACTTATCCCCCCCCCCCCCCCCCTTTGAAAATTCATGATAAAAGACTTACAAAACATGAAAAAATAAAACAAATTATCACATTAATTTTAAAAATGTTTATAAGAATAAATTTTTTAAAAGTCATCACATTTTAATTTTTTTTTAGAACAAGACACAAATTTTTTTTCCAAAAAAGTTAGAAGAATGTCCTATATAATTTTAAAAATCAATAAAAAAATATAAAATCTAATGATTTTTTAAAAAAAAAATTGGAAGAAGAAAAAATGGTTGTAGAGTTGTTTGAATAATTTATTTTAAAATTATTATTTTTACATTCAAATATCACATCGGCTTTTAATTTGTCGCCATGCCATGTCATCCGCAAGTGTATTATACACATTTTGTAATTTTAATTTTAGTTGATTAACAAAAATTTTAAATTAGCAATTATACTTTCTTTTAGATTCCAGCTTAATTTTGAAATTTTTGAAGATGTAAATGCATATAAAAACATCTCCTATAAGCTTTATGATTGGACGATTTTTGTAATAAAAGAGATATTTTAACGATAAATTTGACTTGTTCGAAAATACTATCGTAAATAAGATATTTCTATATAAGGGAAAAGGTATTGTAATGTAGAAGGGAATCTGTTATTTTGACTACCAGAGTAGTATCTTTCATTGCTTCTCCATTTTGTAAAGTAATTATAATATGAATATGTTTTTTTATTAGGAAAATACCTAAGTACCCCCTCAACCTATATCCGAAATTCCAGAGACACATTTATACTATACTAAGGTCCTACTACCCCTTGAACTTATTTTATATATAATTTTCTACCCCTTTTTAGCATACGTGGCACTAGTTCGAAAAAAAAGTCAATCATCATTGGGTCCACAAGATAGTGCCACGTAAGCTAAAAAAGGGTAAAAAATTATTAATAAAATAAGTTCAGGAAGGTAATAAGACCTTAGTATAGTATAAGTGTGTCTCTGAGATTTCGAGCATAGGTTGAGGGGGTACTTGGGCATTATCCCTTTTTTATTTAATAACTACATAAGCACATATTACATTTTGGCTTTATTAATTGAGAATCTCTATGACCAGGGGTGTATATTGACTTTTATCAATCTAATATCAATTATCTATTTCATAATTCATTAATATACAAGTTTAAATTTGAGGTCGTGGAGTTTTAATAAGAATTTACTTCTATTATTATGAATTAATTTATCGATGATCATTTAATTTTAAATTTATTGCGTAAAAATATGTTTTCTAATTTTTTTTTATCATATTTAAACTATACTATACACAATTATTAGATATGACTTTTCTCCTATAAAGACTATTCAACTTGAGCCAAATTAATAAATAAGTAAATCTCATTCGTTGATATTTTATAGTACTAAAGATATGAAAATGACTCTCCATTGACCATTATATTTTATTATATATAGTACAAGGGATTGAAATATGATATAAATATCACATATTCAATCATCTGTATGTTATATTTATGCAAAAATACTTCAATTTTAGTAATACGAATCTGAATCACATCTTCAATCATATGTACTTCAAATTCATGCAAAAAAATTTCAGTTTTAGTTATATACATTTAAAGTTCAATTATATATTTGGCTTCTCAATTTTTAATAATATTTTTACAATTTTAAAAGACGTATTCCGAAATTAGTGAAGTAAATTTATAAATTTTCAAGCATTGTGAATTCAACTAAAATGATGATCTGTAAATTGGTTTTTTGTATACTCAATTCAAATATAATTTAAATTTTCATACAAAGTTTGATGTATTATAAATTAAATTCAAGAACAAATTTAATAGTTAACGCATTACGCAACTCTTCATATATTAGGACATGTACTTGTTTAAAATTGGATTTTGAATGAGCCTTATATAGAAACATAATACGTGGAGAAGCTTCTAATTGAACTTTATGGTACAGTTTCACTTATGATTTTATTTTCAATCTATCTTATTTTTAATTTTTGAACTTCGATATATATAGCATTATCATGGTGTTTGGGATATATATCTCGTCCTTTGATGAATTTCACATGGCACTTTCCACTTCTAACTAGCAACATACATTAGGTACAACCCGAAATCTTGTAGTATTCAACTCACGTTAGTAACCACTAAAATCATACCTTAATCTTTAGCCTAAACTCATTGGTAGCCCCTAAAGTTGTCATCAATTTTCACTTAGACGTCTCAATTAGATTTTGTTTATTTTAGACACCTCATTTTGAGTCCCGCTTTGTCATTTTGACACTTTTTGCTGACTTGACATATTGTGTGTGTTACACCCATTTTGAGTGCGTGAGGAATTTTTTTTAGATTTTTTTGAATTTTTTTCCTTCTTCTTCTTCACTTTTTAGCTCTACCACTTATTCCCCCCTCCCCCCTCCTCATGAAAATTCATAATAAAAGAAAATGATCCACTAATTTTGAAAATATTTATAAGAATAAATTTTTTAAAAGTCATCACACTAATTTTAAAAGATTTTTAAAACAAGACACATTTTTTTTTGTCAAAAAAGTTAGAAGAACATCCTATATAATTTTCAAAATCAAATAAAAAAAATTTAAAATCTAATAATTTTTTTTAAAAAAAATTGAAAGAAGAATCAAGAAAATGGTTGTAGAGTTGTTTGAATAATTTATTTTAAAATTATTATTTTACATTCAAATACCACATCAACTTTTAATTTGTCGTCATGGCATGTCATCCGCAAGTGTGTTACACACATTTTGTAATTTTAATTTTTTCTGATTAACAAAAAGATGTTAAAATGACATAACAAACCCCTATTTGAGATGTTTAAAATGAACAAAATCTATTTAATGTATTAAGTGATGAATTCAACCTAATCTTTAAACGTGAATACAACCAAATTCAGATCTAATTACATACGTCGAATCATTCAAATCTTATTGTAGAGGTTCGACGAAACGGCTAAATCCGACCCGTAATATCCATTTGAGAAGTCACCTAATCCAGTACGTCGTCGTTTTCCTCTCGCTTAAACCCTAAACCCTTGTAAAATCCGAAACATTTCCACTACCCATTTTTTCATTTTTTTTCTCAGCTCTGCGTCTTCTTCAATGGCGTCAATTGCTTTTAGAAGCTCAAATTCAAAGCGATTGCTTGCAGTTTCACCTCAATTATACTCTTCATGCTGTAGAGGATCGGTGCCAGCTCAATTCTCACTCTCCGAAACCATAAATGCAAATGAAGCTCCTGCATTTTGTAACCATCCATGGTGGAGATCCATGGCTACCTTCACTCGAACGTAAGATTGAAATTTTTATTTTTTTAGAGATTTTTATATCAGTGTAATGATCCGAATTACGAAAATCGGGTTCTTAAAGGCAACATGTTGTGTTAGTTGAGGTGTAGTTGATTGATTGATGAGGGTACGCGAGCACTCATTTTAATAATTTGTTTGTTGATCGAGGTAAGATGATATTTTTCTTGTTTAGAGATTTGTTATGACAGGCATTTATAAAAAAAACGCCTTTCTACAAAGCTGTGTTGTATTAGATTGAAATGGAATTATGTGGTGTTAGTGATTGATATCCGAGCTTTGTTTAGATTTGGATTGAGGTTTAGTTGTTGATTGATCAGTGTATCTGAGCACTCATTTGAATGATTTGCTCATTGATCCAGGTAAGACATTATTTTTATTGTTTTGAGATTTGTAATGATAGGCATTTATAAAAACCGCTTTTTGAAGGCATAGCTATGTTGTGTTAGAAGAAAATGAAGTTCAAATAAAACAGAATGTATACAAATGGTTGATGTGCTCAACCTTGGCTAGCTTTTGAATAGAGGAGTAGTTGATTGATTAGAGTATGGGAGCATTCATTTTAGTAAGTTTCTTGTTGATTCATTCAGTTCTCACTTAATGAAAAGCTAAATGCAACTCACACTTCCTAACACACGGTGTAGATCCATGGCTACCTTCACCAGAAACTTAGATTGATATTTTAAAAAATTGTTTGGAGATTTAACTTGTAATGATACACAATTATAATATAAGCACTTTTTGAAGGCAAAACTATGTTGTGTTAGGATAAAATGAAGTTCAAAATAGAGCAGAATGTATATAGATGATTGGTGAGCTAGCTTCGGATTGTGGTGTAGTTGATTGATTCATTAGAGTATGCAAGCACACATTTTAATAATTTGCTTGTTCTCCATCCAGTTCTCACTTAATGAAAAGCTGAAATGCAAATTAGACTCTCACACTTCCTAACACATGGTGAAGATCCGTGGCTACTTTCAGTCGAACGTACGTTTAATATTTCATACTTCTGTGCAGATTACATTTATAAAGAACGTCTTAGGAAAAATTTGTTTTGTTAGAATGAAATGAAATTCGAATAGAGCCGAATATATTGTTCCTGAAATATGGAGGTTTTCGGGTTTCTCTTCACTGGTCGGATGGAAAGATAAATATCAAGGAGAAACCACGTCAAGCAAACAATTAACAAATTATGAATCACTCCTGAAGTAGCAGCGGTTATCTATATGAATCCGTGATATCTATTGTGCTCTACATTGGAACATATTTCTGTCCTCAGTCGACTATGCTAAGTTGGAAATGTTGAACTGAAAATTTCACCATCCAATTTTTGTTCTCATCTAATAACATCTTTTGGGTTCCTGCAGAAAACCTCATGTTAACGTGGGAACTATCGGCCATGTTGATCATGGAAAGACTACTCTCACAGCTGCAATTACAAAGGTAAGGTTGGTTAGTTTTGGTATTTGTTATTTTGTTTTCCTCCGTTGTGACCTCATTCAGTTATCTAATCAAGACGTGACACAAGAAAAACCTGTGCATTGTCTAGGTTCTAGCAGAAGAAGGAAAAGCAAAGGCTGTTGCTTTTGATGAAATCGATAAAGCCCCTGAAGAGAAAAAGAGAGGAATTACTATCGCTACGGTGGGTATGCAACACCATTTGTCTTTACTCCCTCTTTTTTAATTTTTTTTAACAATGGAACTGATGCTTCATAGGCCCATGTGGAGTATGAGACTGCTAAAAGACACTATGCTCATGTTGATTGCCCTGGGCACGCAGATTATGTTAAAGTAAGATGCATAACCTACCTATTTTGATGCTATCATCTCATTCATTGTACTTTATGACTTTAAGTGCCTATTACATAGGCTCTTTTGGTTCTTATTGAAGAAAGTCCTTATTACATGGGGAATACTTATTAACGGCTACCTAGGGAATGCTTAAGGTCAAGCTTATTAAAGCTTGAAAAAAATGTGTATGCAGTTAATTTAGTCCCCACTTGTGGGATTACACTGGGTATGTTTTTGTTGTTGTTATGTATGCAGTTAATTCTGTATCACGGGGCCGTTTTCTTTTTAGGGGATTATATGGCCTATAACAATATCATTAAATGGTTCCCCAAGATTTGAGTTGTAAGGTTTGAGCAGAAAGATAACACTCAGAGATTCCAATCTGTTAATACATTGAAAGTGATCTTTTTCTCTATCTGCTGTAGAAAATTAGTATAAAAGGTATAATATTTAGATTTTCTTTGTTCAAATTCCTATTTTTAGAAGCACCTTTCGTTGTTGCTGACTCCCTTCCTGGGCACTAGCTGTAGAGCATAGGGTAAACCCTTCTTATATGTTCTTGCACAATCGAGGTAGTGTTACATTCTTTACTATTATAAGATAAAATGTATTAACTAATATTTTGATATTGCTTTTAAAATAACAACAACAAACCTACGTAATCCTGTTAGTGGGGTTTGGGGAGGGTAGGATGTACGCAGACTTCACTCCTACCTTTGTGGGGTAGAGAGGTTGTTTTATGATAGACCCTTTGCTGGTAGGCTTTTCACTATAGTTTCATATTTGATAGAAAATGTTTGGTTTGATGTGATTTAACATTAGAGCACATACATGGAGCTTACTTTGTATAAACAGTTACAGTTACAGTCTAAATGTGGCATGTTATTCTTAGTTTGCAGCCAAGTTGCTCGGACTCCAAAAATGTTGCCTCACCCGTGTCGAATCCTTCAAAAATACACTATTTTTGGAGGATTCAACACACCCGTCGACATTTTTGAAGAGTCCGAGCAACATAGTTTTTAGATTTCAAAGGCAATTATCTATTTGTTTCTAGGTATTGCTTTGACCAACCTTCAAAACAAATTTTTGTGATGTTTGAGTCTTTTAAGATAAAACTTATATGTTTTGGAAGTATATGAGAAGTACAAGTTGAAAGCTTTTGCTGTTCAAAACATAATGGTGTGCTTATTGCTTAATTAGTCCTTAGTCAAGAAGAGGGGCGATCTAGTAGGAGACACCCTCCATTCTTATCTATATGATCAAGAGTTCGAGTTACTAAGAGAAAAAGGAGAAATCCTTTTTTAATAAAAGGGAAATCCATTGTTGGATCCTGGGAAGAGGGGTTCTTGGAGATGTGGGATTTACCATATCCCCCAAAAGCAGTCATTAGTCAAAAAATGGAATCAGTCTGTTTCTTAAGAAGCTAAAAGTAACATGTTTTTGAGGTTGAGGATGTGCTCACTCAACACAATTACAATGGAGAGAGAATGAGAGATGACTCTTCGCAGTGGATGCCTGCTGTGTGAAAAGAGCGAAGATGAAATTTATCACTTAATTTTGCACTACAGCTTTGCTATGAAACCATGTTCGTTAATCTTTTCTAGCTCAGTTGGGTTATGTCAAGAACCATTAAACAACTGCTACAATGCTGGACTGGCAAGGGCACAGTGAAGTGCAAGAGGAAGATATGGGAGACAATCTCTGAGGGTGTTTGGTGGGTGATTTGGAAGGAGAGGAAGCGAAGGTGTGCTGAAAGCAAATATGATAATATTTACACTCTAAAATACAAATGTATTTCCTTTTGTGTTTTTTGATGTAGACGAGTGATAGTAACCAGAAGTAGAGATCCGACAAAATAGAACAAAGTAAGTAGATTTACTGAAAATAGTTTGTGCAAGTGCCTTAAAGACAACTATACAAATAAAGTTGTCCGTATGGTGTGGACAAGACTCCAGAAAATAGTACTTTTGATTCTTACTTACATCCTACCAATAACTAATCCTAATGACATATATAGAGAGAACATAAAAGGATAAGATAAAAAGGATAAGACTGACACTAAACTGCCAGATAACTGCTAGACAACTGCTGCAGCAGTTGTTTGTCCAGAATCCGACTCTGTATTCTTTTGTCGATATTTTCTTCTAAAGTACGTCTTTGAGAGGTGGGTTGGTATCAACGAGAAGATGTTAATGCAGTTTATAGGATGGCAGATTTACTCAGCTTCCATCAGTAATTGTAAAGAAACTAATTGTATGTAATTTTTGGCACAATCTGTGTGCTTCATTTATACAACCTTACCATTTTTAAAAAAGTTACTACGCGTCTTTTGGAACAGTATGTGATAGTTAAAGCATGTCAGCTAGTAATGTATCTGAAGTTTGAGCTACCTCTTTAGATAAATTTGTCTGGTATTATACTTTATGCTTGTCAATGTCAAAAACTTCATTTCCAGTACAAGATAATAGTTTCTCTTTTTCCCTAATACAAACTCCCATTTTGTCCACTTCCTCATAAATTCTTTTTCCACAGAATATGATTACTGGAGCTGCCCAAATGGATGGTGGTATTCTAGTCGTATCTGCCCCTGATGGACCCATGCCACAAACAAAGGAGCATATTCTGCTTGCACGCCAGGTGGATATGTGTCAGTTTGTGGATAGACTAGTAAACTACCTGAAAGCTTTATGTTGTGATTCTAATTTTACCTGTGCCTACATTTTACAGGTAGGTGTACCATCACTTGTGTGCTTTCTGAACAAGGTTGATGCTGTTGATGATCCAGAACTCCTGGAACTTGTTGAAATGGAACTCCGAGGTAACCAGCTTTTTCGGACACGTGTGAATTTTGTTGCACTTTGAAGTCTTGGTAACTGCGATAATATCTTTTCTAAATTTCCTTCCAAGAGCTTTCCTGTTTGCAGAGCTGCTTAGTTTCTACAAATTTCCTGGGGATGACATCCCTATCGTTCGTGGTTCAGCTCTTTCTGCATTACAGAGTACAAATGAAGAAATTGGGAAAAAAGCTATTCTGAAGTTGATGGAGGCTGTAGATGAATATATCCCTGATCCAGTGCGTCAGCTTGATAAACCATTCCTAATGCCAATAGAAGATGTATTTTCAATTCAGGTATTTAGATGTTCTTTAACTTTGTGGTTTCAAGAGTTCTTTTTCTGAACTGTCTTTTAAAATTCAACTTCACTTTCACGTTCTAACTTTTTCTTATTTTTATGTTTTTAAAGTCTAACAAATCCTTTGCTGCAAAACGAAGGAAAAATGTCTACTTGTATCGAAATAGCAAATCAATGCTTCTTAGTTGCTTGATTCTGTGGTATTCCTTATTAGTTTTTCCTTTTGTTGATTATTTCCTCTTTATGTTTCGTAGGGACGTGGAACTGTTGCTACTGGGCGTGTTGAACAAGGAACCATAAAAGTTGGAGAAGATGTGGAGATTTTAGGACTGATGCAGGTAACATGTAATCCTTTAATTTTTATTCTTTATTTGGGGAGGCAATTGTTATTTCATAATTTGACTATTATTTCCCAGGGCCAGTTATCTGAATTATATCTTTTTGTTCTCCCTGTTTCAGTCGAAACAGTCGAGGACAACAATAACATGATTGTCATCACCTGATTAATAAGCAAGTGACTTTTGCTTTATCTTATTGGTGTTATGGGCTACTGGATAGAATTCTTGATAATCCTATCTGTTAAAAGTAAAAGCAAAGGGTTAGATGGTTACTATAATTTTCAGGTTTTGATGACTTGTTCTATTCATAAACTTTGGCTGAAGCCTGAGTTCATATATTTTTCTGATGATTAAGATGCTTGATCCAAATGACAATCTTAGCTGGCTTTGAAGTTTTAATAGCTCTGATTCCTTTGTTAAATATCTGGTACTTGATAAAAGTATGTAATTCTGCTCTTTGTAACACATGCTCCTAATATCAATTTTCTTTTATAGGGCACTTTAAAATCTACAGTTACTGGTGTTGAAATGTTCAAGAAGATCTTGGATCATGGACAAGTAAAAATCTAACCTAATCTTAATCACTTTTGTAATAATTTCTTACTGCATTAACTGATCATTGCCCCCCCCCCCCCTCAAAATTCTTAATTAGGCTGGTGATAATGTTGGCCTTCTTCTTCGTGGCTTGAAACGAGATGACATTACGCGAGGAATGGTACGTTTGAAATTTTGCTACAACTATTGGACATCTTTTTGGCCAGTTTGTAGCTGCTGTGACTTCCTTCATAGAACTTTTTACCTGTCTTCATCTTTATTTTTAAATTTATTGCTTCCGCTACTATTGTTCTATTCATGTTGTATCCCTATTGTCTGAAATTTAATACAAGCAATTATGAATCAGGTCCTTTTAGCAATGTTAGGTGCACCCTCTATCATCAGCCTAGAAAGAGTGGTTCGATTTTCCACCTTATTTACAGGAAATAGGAGCAATCTAATTCTATTCTCTTGTGATTGTATCAAGCATGTACTGTTATTCATGATGAGATCGGAGTCTGGAATCTTAAGAAAATAGATTTCTTTTACATACATATGTTGCAAACATTTATAGGCCTTTTGTATTGTAGGTGATTGCAAAGCCTGGAAGTGTGAAAACATGCAAGAAATTTGAAGCAGAGATATATGTACTTACAAAGGATGAAGGTGGTCGTCACACTGCCTTCTTCTCAAATTATATGCCTCAATTTTACATGAGGACTGCTGACATCACTGGCAAAGTGGAGTTGCCTGAAAATGTCAAGATGGTTATGCCTGGGGATAATGTTACTGCTACTTTTGAGCTGATGTCTCCGGTTCCCCTTGATGCAGGTGAGTAAATTATTCAGGCTTTTGGTTTTATATGGAAGCAATATTCTTGTAAAAATTTCTGATTCTTATTTTACTCCCTTGAAGATGGACAATATTATATTCAAAATGTTCATTATCATTAAAGAATTACTGTTCGTTCTAGTGGCAGAAGATAAATTTTACAAATCACCTCACTTCGGGTGGCTGATGGTGGTGTCACTTTTACTAGGAATTTGCTTTTACGGATTGTCACGGTCTCACTACTGATGTGATAGTCGATCTTATTCTCAAATTAATTATATTCATGGCCGTCACACACCTTGTGCCCCATAATGCTGCTATTACATCTTGATTAACATGATACCATCTCACTGGCCTATTACTATGCAAGATAACTCAATGGGGCTGATGAATTTGATTATCGAATAACTTTGATCAGTCATGAAATTTCTTTGATGCACTTGTGATGATTAGATCAGGAAAGAGATTCTTTTGGCTAGTAAATCCAAATATATATATTTTTTTATAACTGTGGGCTTGTACACTTCTCAACCAATTCCACGGAGTACTTGCTACTTATTGCCAGTGTATGTACCGGGTAATTTGTCCACCTAGGCTTGGACAAGATGGAAAGAAATCACCTATTATATATGTTCTTTGCATTTGGAAAGAATGCAATAGGCTTTCACTATCATGCAGGCTGTTATCCAGTCAAGTGAATTTATATCTTAGACATGATACTCAGTTTATGTGTTTTTATTTATCGTAGAACTAGAACGGATATAATTGTTTCGATGCCATTTTATGTAAAAATTTGCAGGACAAAGATTTGCTTTGCGAGAAGGTGGTAGAACAGTTGGCGCGGGCGTTGTTTCAAAAGTAATAAACTGAGGCTTCATGATTTAGGTGATTTTAGGTTCACTATGGTTCTCTCTAGGCAGGTTGATGATAGAAAAGACTTTAATTTGTTCATTGTGGAAAATACAAGACTTGATAAGTGCTGATGCAAATATTTTTTTCATGAAAGTGTCAAAAGAAATCCAAGTCTTGTTCATTTTTTATGGTATTACTAATAATATATGTTCTTTGCATTTATTTGAAACTCCACTCTAATTTCTTGAAGGAGTTTATTTGCTTGTGTTATTGAAGGTGTTGTTATATATGATGAGATGAATTAGTGTTGATGATTTTAATACTTCTTTCATTCTTGATAGTATCATCTTCAACCTTATCATTTGTGTACGTGCACTTCGATTAATTTATCAGTGATGTATATTGATAATATAAAGGATCTTTACGTTATCATATCAAACATGCTAATAGTGTATTATACACAAATAATACACAACTTAGGATTCTTTTTCAATATGGTAAATTAAATCGTTAAACTCATTATAGGCTGATATTTATAGTTAATTTTTGGGATAATGCTCAAGTACCCCCTCAACCTATGCCCGAAATCTCAGAGACACACTTATACTATACTAAGGTCCTATTACCTCCCTGAACTTATTTTATTAATAATTTTTTATCCCTTTTTAGCTTACGTGGCACTATCTTGTGGGCTCAACGATGGTTGACTTTTTTTTTCCGAACTAGTGCCACATAGGCTGAAAAGGGATAGAAAATTACATATAAAATAAGTTCAGGAGGGTAATAGGACCTTACTATAGTATAAGTGTGTCTTTGGGATTTCGGACATAGTTTGAGGACATAGTTTGAGGGGGTACTTGACTATTTTCCCTTAATTTTTTGAAAAATAATCTTATAAGATAAAGTTCTTTATATTGTTTGGTGTAAATGATCATAATTTTACGTTGGATTTAGTGCGACATTTTTGTTCCCCTTGTCATAATATTGTTCAAGTAACAAATTTGAAAATTAATATACTTAAATGTATATTGATAAGATATTTGATTTCTTCTTTTAATCTCTACATTTATTAGTTTCCATTCTCAAAACAATTTCAAAGGGAACAAATCTTCATTTTTCCATTTTTAGCCATAAATAAAATCTTGGAAATTATATACACCATTTGCATAATCTCATTATTAAAAGCCCCTTATTATCACTCCTCTTAATCGTAATATCTTCCATTTTGCAATTTCATTATATTCTAAGGTTAGTTTTCTCAACCTATGTTCGGATATTCCTTCATTCTCGTGCAGATACGGAGTCAAAAATTAAAACTTATAAGTTTGAAATTGCTTTTGAATTTTTGATTGCTAATGATTTGTACATATTCAATGGATTTGATCGAAGCTACTGAATTTTATTGGACTTGTATTTACTCTTACTTCGTCTTTTTTTTAGTGGTGAACTAATTGTAAAAACATTTTACATTATTACATAATATTGAATATTAGTTGCATGTAATATATCTTCTCTGCTCATACTGATTTTTTATTTTAATTTTTTAAACCAGTTGTTTAGACACCAATAATTAATTTCAATGGAGCCCATTGCAGACGTGGTAAGAGAAAAAACCTTTCTATTTTTTTTCTCCATATAATGTTCCGTTTCAAAAATTTATTTTACGAAATATTTTAAAATATAAGCAGATTTTAAAAATTTGATCGAACTCAGTTCAATTGTTTATTTGTTTATTGTAGAGTTGCAATTTGAAAGTGAACATCCATTGTGAATCCTGCAAAATGAAGATGATGGAAGTGTTGCACTCCGTACGAGGTATATAACTTAAATTCTTCGTTTAACATAAAAAAAATTAAAGTTAATCCGTTCCGAGGTGCATGTATATATATACTTGTCATGATATGTGTAGCTTTTTATTCACGCATAACTAACTAAGTATTTACTTATCAGAACAAATATATTTTATGTTATCTGACTCTTGATTCTGAATTCGATTCCGTACAGGAGTGTATGCATTGACAATAGATGCAGAAAAAGGAATAGCAAATGTTTGTGGAGAGGTGGATCCAAATAGGTTGTTATTAGCATTGTTAAAGTCAGGTCAACATGCAGAATTAATAAATGTGAAATTGAAGCATCCTTCTATTGTTAATACTCCAAGAAATCAACATGGACACTATAATGTTGGCCATGGTTATAACAATAACTCTAATTCACTAGATGGACCTTATGGCTACAATCATGCATTGAATGAGCCAACTTCTTACTATCCTACTAGAGGAGGAGCCATGTTTGATCAACCTTATTATGGTTCAACCTACTACAACTCTTCTCCTTGTGTTGGCTACGAGTCGAATCGATCTCTAACGATGGATCATGTCATCAAAGAAGAACCTATGAATTGGTGTAGTATAATGTAGATGTGAGAGTTTATAGTATTGGACTTGTCTAACTTTTAAAATGACAAGAGTTCAAAATCTATTGTTGGTTGAAATTTTAAGTATTGAACTCATTGTATATAATGCCAATAACATAAAGTGAATCTTCCATTTTGTATTTTTTATAGGGGAAATTTTTCAAAATGTCAATATTTTAGCATTTAAAAAGGCTCATTAGCAACACTTTCAATATTTAGTAAAAATGTCATATTTTAGTTTGTTATGTATCTTATTAATGTTTTTATTATTTGTTTTTATTTAAAGAATATATTTATTTAATAACAAAAGGGATAAAATTAAGGGAGAGAATATTTCAAAAAAAGGTAAGCATCCTTAATTTTCTCATCAGTTACATTTTCAAATAAAATTTAATTTTTTTTCTCTCCAAAATTTTTACCTTTTTAAAATTTTATTCCTTCCAAAATATATTCTATTTATATTTATTATAGTTTTTTTATAATTTATATTCATTCCAATAAATATGCCAAATTTATCTATATAGTCATTTAAGAAATGTATTTGCATTTTTATATATTCTTTTCCCTATATAGTTATTTTATTCTTCGAAATTCTTGTATGTATTCATTTCAATATGTATTTTATTTGTATTTCTATTTATTCTAGTTTTTATTTTGAATTTTGTATAATAATATATAAAATACAAAAATTAGTATGATGAAAAAGTGAATGAAATATAAAATTGAAAAGTAAATAATTGAATATTTGGTGTACTCATTCTTAAATAAAATACATAACTAGTTGACATACCTTTAGAATAAATACAAATTAAAAAAATGTCAAATTCAGAAACAATGCAACATAATTTTTGAATGAATACAACTATTAATTGTAAAAATATATACTGACTAAAACAGTATTAAAATTCAATATATACTTCCAAATTTATGAATACAAAAAATAATAAAACTATGAAATACAAAAATAAATACTAACTGTGGTACATTGACATAACTATCAGAAAAACACAGAATACAAATTAAATTAAATAAATGAAATACGATTCCAAAACTATGGATACAAAATACAATAAAACAATGAAATACAAAAATACATACTGACTAAAACAACAACAAATTTCAATATACACTTCCAAATTTATGAATACAAAAAACATCAAAACTATGAATATACACAATCAAACTCATATAATGTGTACATTGACATAACTAACACAAAAAAAAAATAGAACACAAAATACAATAAATATATAAAATACAAAAATAAATACTAACTATAACATAATAAAATTTCATATATACTTCCAAACGCATTGTAACATGAATTTTTTTGAATCTTAAAAATTGCTAGACAAATTAAATTAAACATGCAAGACACAGAACATGCGAAAAAAACTCTTCTCCAACAAATTGGTCTTCTTCAACTTCATGGTTATTAATTTGTGTGGGATTTTGCACATCGACAGATTCAGGCATTTTTTCCCGTCGTATATCCTCCTTAGATTTAGAAGCGAAATCTATATTGTTGTTTAATTCTTGAGTGAAAAAAATTTGTGTGGGATTTTGCACATCGACAGATTCAGGCATTTTCCCCGTCGTATATCCTCCTTAGATTTAGAAGCGAAACCTATATTGTTGTTTAATTCTTGAGTGAAAAAAAATTAAATGATAAAAAATCGGAAGAACTTTGATTATTTTGTCCATACCTCTAGTTTCTCTCTTGAAACGTCCATTGAAGAGAGAATTATGTAGTCTCAAATCCTAAAAAATGTTTTAAGAACAACAACAAAATTTAAAAAATTAAAAAAATACTAAAATCAGTAAGTAAATAAATAAGGAATCTAAAAAAATAATAATACCTCAAATCAATGTTAATCTTCATATCAAATTTTGCAACGAAATTAAATGAGAATAATAGAAAATATTAATATATTGAATCGAAAATCTGTGAAATTGATTTGGAAGAATGTTAGATAGAGAAATTGAAAAGAAGAATAAGAAAAGAGAGAGAAATCTGGGGATTTGATTAGGAAGAAAATAAGAGAGAGAAATTAATAAGCTTAAGAAAAGAGAGAGAAATTAATAAGCTTAAGGAAAATGTGTAATATATGAGAGAGAAAAGAAGGTGTAAATAATGAGAGAGAAAATATTAATAATATCAGAATAATTATTTATTTTTAAAATTATGACATTTTTGACATATTTAGTAATATTATTAATCTATGGATATTACCACTAAATAAGTTAATTTTTTTGACTAGCTAGCTAAATTTTCCTTTTTATAATCACTACATTTATGGCCATGGCTATAACAACTACTTCCACTAGTAATGCACTAGATGGCCCAACCATATTCAAATGCATTGAATTTTTCTACATTGATTGCACTTTTAGAAGAATCTTAAAATATATTTCATATGTATAGTTATGTTATTCATTCAAAATGTGCTCGATTAGACATAACGAACGATTTACGTATACAGACTTTTCTTATGCTATTAGTTGTTCTAATTTATAGTTCTTTTGTTTGATAGGTCTTTTCGAGAATAACTGATTAATCTAATAAGCATATAAATAAAATTTTATTGTAATGATTCTTTTCCAAATATACTAATATAAGATGCTTTATGCAGCAAATTACCTTTTTTTTTTCCTTCAAAATTTGCTTTATTTTTATTTTCATAATCCTTATTTAATTAAACCAAGTAAAATAGTGCAACTAGCCTTTTGTTATCTTTACTTGAGGTCTAATTTGTGGAATTAAAAGTCTTAACATTAATATTTTAAGTACTACTGCTAGAAAGTAATAGTCTGGAGCTTAAAGGGTATAAAATGTTAACAAAAATTTTAAAACGGTATATAAATTTTTATTTTAACCAAAAGGGCAAAATCACTAGAAGAGCAGTGATATCGTTCGTCGAAAAAAGTAAAATTTGATTTTTTTAAAATTTTTTTAAGCGATTTCCAAAATAATTTTTTAAAATAATTTTTTAATTAATGGCTGCCTAAGCAGCAATTTTTTTAACTTTTTTTTTTAATTTTTTATTTGAAATTAAAAAAAAGAAGAAGATAAATTAAGAGCAAATCGCTGCAAGTGCAGCGATTCATCTCTAATTTTTTTTAATCATTTTTTTAAAAATATTTTGTTACTACTTATTTTAAAAAATTATTAATTTATTTTGGAACAAGTAAGTAAAACAAATTAAAATTAAAATTTCTAAAAAAAATTAAAATTTTATTTTCAAAGTTTTAAAATAATTTTTTTAAAAAAAATAATTTAAAAAAATATTAAAAATTTTTGGAGACGATTTGCTCTTAATTTCTCTCTCTCTTTTTTTTTTTAAAAAAATTCAAATAAAAAATTTAAAAAAATTAAAGAAATCGCTGCTTAGACAGCGATTTATTTAAAAATTATTAAAAAAAATTTTTTAAGAAAAAAATCAAATTTTGTAAATTGTTGCTATTGCAGCGATTTTACTTTTTTCGCCAAGCCAAATCGCTGCTCTTCTAGCAATTTTTACCCTTTTAGTTAAAATAAAAATTCATATACCATTTTAAAATTTTTGTTAACATCGCACTCCTACCACTAGCATTATCACTAGTACTTAATTATCATAGTCAAGTTGTAGTTGCATATCTTGATTTTAATATATGCTTAGTTCATAAAAGGTCCAAAGTTATGCGTAGAACATACGCATAAATTAAGATACAATTATTAAAAATTAAGACAGAATTAGAGGAGTATACACAAATTAGTAGTTTGAAATGACTTTGAATTTTGAAACTCGTAAATTTTAAATCTTAAATTTATCGTTGTTAATGTATTATGTATTTAAGGACTCATTATAAATTAATTAATTTTATGTCAACTGTCAATTTGTTGTAATTCTCCGTTTTTATCTAGCTTAAAATTTTAGAAACTTTCACATATAACTACTTAAAAATAGACTAATTATATCCATAAACTATAGTTTGATATTTACAGTTTGTAGTTACATGTTATATGGAGGAGAGAGGCGAGCAAGACTGGGAGAGAAAGAGGAGAGAGGCGAGAGAGAGGGGGGGGGGGAAGAGTGGGAGAAAGGTGAATTCTATATGTATATCGGTTAGATAATTCTATATTATACATATGTATTAGTATACATGGCAAGCGATCTCGCGAGAGGGAGGAGAGAGGGCAGAGAGTGAGAGAGAGGTAAATTGTATATGTATATATGTTACATAATTGTATATTAAACATATGTATTTGTATATTTTGTGAATTATACATATACAAACTCGAAGTCAACCCATTATAGCAAAATATAACTATAATTGGTAATTAAATAATATAAATTTGCTTTATTGCGTAATTTTCGTATAATTTAATTGAAGCTTCATGCTTCTTATGTATTTATAGGGTAAGTAAAAAGTAATATAGTCAAGCTTACACTCATGCTCACACATAATTTTTTAAACATGTTATATAATTAAATTAAATTAGAATAAAAAGAACTACAACTAACAAGACTTACTTTATTTTTTTCATGTACGCTTAGTAAAATATACTTTTATACTAAATTTTATGAAAGAATCAGATTCATTTTTCGACGATTAATTAATAACTAAAGTAGGGGTAATAGCTAGTTATTTACTTGTATGACTTTCTTTAAAAACTAGAAATATTTTTTCTTTTGCTATAATTTATTTTTCTATTTTTAATACTTTAGTCCAAAACTTTTAATTAAAAATTGCATTATTATTTTAATTTATTTTTTAAAACTTTAATCCAAAACTTTTGATTAAAAATTGCGTTTTAAATTAATTTTGAGTAAGTTTTTTTATCCTAAATACTTATACCCGGGACTGTGTTTCCAGCAAGCCAACATACTCCTTCGACATAATTGCCGGCGTAACACGCCGGAATCCAATTTCCCGACCGGCGAATCCATGGAAACGGTAACCGTACGTTCGAGCCAGTGGGACAGAGTGACGGAGCTGACGAAATTGGCTCAGGAAAGAAATACCGATCCATTGGTATGGGCCATGGAGCTTTCCTCCAGTCTTAACTCCGCCGGCATCTCTATGCCGTCGACCGACGTTGCCGAACTTCTCGTATCTCATATTTGTTGGTCCAATAATGTTCCTAATGCTTGGAAGCTTCTAGAGAAAGCTTTGGTGTTTAGAAT